AAGTTTCATACAATTGAGAATAGAGCGGAGCCCGAGGCGCGTGCCGGCCGGGCGGCGCTCGTGCGAGCCGGTGCACACGGTGTCTGTGGAAATATATTTTGCTTTACAAAAAAAATTTCAAACTTTTAAATAGAAGCAGAAATTGGGTTGGTCGGTCGGTTGGTTTGTTGGCGCTGAGATACTGCCCACTGTGAAACACAAAGCTTTGACTATTTTTTTTGGTTTTATTTTTTTGGGGGGCAAGTTTGGGTAGGACAGAAAGCATAAATGAGGTGAAGAGGGATATGAACAGCCTTTGCAATGTACAAAAAATAGAGCAAGTGAAACCAAAAATGATGTTCTTGGTGTTTTTCTATAATGTAGTCTTGTTAGCTTTTTTTGTTACTGTAACAATGCTGATCTCGAACTGTACCAAAATACATGGAGACTAACAGAAACAGAAACCACATGGAACTTTCAAAACTTAAAAAAAAAAATTTGTCACAAAAGACTTTGTTGTCATAGTTGAGTTGACTGTAGATGGTAATTGAATATACTCCTTTGGAAATATTTCATCACGTATGTTTCCTGCTCATTGTGATACATTAAAAAAAAAAATGAGCAAAAGCTCTTGTCTCGACGGGGCTTCGAGGGCCGCCAGCCTGGAGGTGCCGGGGCTGACGCCGCGGGGTCACGTGGAAGCGGTGAGCCGAACAGCGCAGTTCGTATGATGGCTTTGGGGTGCGTTGTGTATGAGGACGACGTTACCAGTGCATTCAGTTTCCCTGAATGAGCGCACAAGAATTCTGGGCGCGCGGCTGTAGTTAATGGTTAAAGGGGAAGCATGATGCCGTTGTGAGTCGAGGTCATCTTGAAACCTGTAAACTAAAAACGAACTAAAATTGCCATTTATTTTCTTCTCCCGATTAAGTCGAAAGGAAAAAAAGGTAAGAAAGGTAAGTGGATGACTGGCTGCCCTTTCCTTTGCTTGCCGAACTCCTTTCTCTGGCGCAGAGCGGAAAACTTGATAAACTGCTGAGTGTTGGATACAACAGCCTCTTACCAAAAATTGCCCCTTACAGCAGAAAACGCTTGAAATTCATTAATAAGGCCCGCATGCAAAAGAGAGCCCAGGGACTACCATTCATCTCTAATTTATAACTGCAGCATTAAATAATTTAAAAAGTTGCAGGTGGGCTGGGAGGGCCGCGTAGCGCGGGTGCCCTTGGCCGGTCCACGGCTCTGCCAGCGCGGGGCGGCTCCTTCCCCGGAGCGGGGTCCTCTAGCTCCTGAGCGTCGCTCAGCAGAGCAGAGACGGCCCCGGCCGGGAAACCCGGCCGCTAGAGAGGAGACAGGGTGCTCTGTCATTAAGGAGGTCACAACGGTGACTTGTTAGCCGGGACATTCAACAATAGGGCTGTTGATGCACCTGGGGGCACAAAAAAAAAAAAAACAACCCAAAAAACTAATGCGCGTACTGATTTGGAGTCCGAAAATGCATAAATTACAAAATATAGAGGGTCAAAATTGGCAAGGCCCGATGCCTGCCGGAGCTGCGGTCTACCCCGCTGCAGGGGCAGGCCGGCGCGGAGGG